ACTGACACATGAAAGCACAGCCTGGGGTACTAACACCACCTTCATTCTCAGCTGTCCAAAACAAAGCACTGCATTGCTGTGAGAATTTAGGACGGCTGTACCATGTGGGAAAACCACAACTTTCACTCACATGGCACACTGCCGAGTGCTGGGAATGTTATGTGTCTAAGAAAACATAAACTGTTCACATAAGACAGCAATTATCAACAACTACTAGGAACAAGTATCTAGAAGCAATTTCTGGCTCCGTTCTCTAGGCAGCTGGCAGAGGTTACCTACTGTCCCACCACCTACTTGCCCGATTTCTTGTTCCTTACTTGAAGGATGTTTTATGAGTTGCTGTTAAGAGTATGAAATACAGCAAGACAGACATTCAGTCCAGCCCACTGGGCCAACCATAAGGCACAGACACCACAAAACAGGAGCACTTCAAAAATTCCCCAAATGGCTATGATTCAAGCAACACTTTACCTCAATGGGCATAGCACTTTTGGCCAACATTCTCTCTGTATCAAGTATTTTTATTGAGGCATCAGCAGATCCTGTAGCTATTAACTGTCCATCTCTGCTATATGTAGCTACACGACACGGTCCTTTATGAGACGTGACATAACAAGTTTCATATTCAGAAGCCTCGGGAGACATGGTTTGTACGTCTGCATCAAATTCCAAGTCAATTCCTGTGCCTGGAGCTACTGTATCTGACCGTCCGATTGCATATTGAACGGCACTGTCATCGTTCTCCATTCCTGAAAAAAGAGATGTTAACGTTCTTAAAAGTATGCTAACTTTCCCCATACATGGATAGGCTGAGGCAGGATCTGTATTTCACATGTCTTTAACAGCTAGATGAGTCAACTGTTAAAAGAGCCCTCCTATTCAAAGTCGAGTGAGCAGAACATGTTAATTTATACATGAGGAATTAGAGGCAATTTGTTTACACTAGAGCAGAACAAAGTTTTGTAGTATTAACCTTGGATATACAACCAGCAAATAGTATATTATACTAAATACTGATAAATGCACTAACAATCACTTTTGGAAGCCATAGACAGACATGCAGTTTTTCAGAGAAGGGAGAAACAAACCTCAACACTACTATTGCATGAGATTTAAGGTTAGAAATTGAAGCATTTAGTGATTTTTTTGTTTGTTTTACTGTATTGAGGAAGAAAATCCCATCCCACAAACTATCCCAGGATTGCTAGTGAAAATGATTACTGCTGTTCACACCCACCCTGCAGATTTAACTTTCTGATTTCTAGCATGCACCTACAGGATGAGGACAATTCAGCATTGGAACTTGTGAGCCAGAGCATGAGAATTTTCAGTTATGTGCCTAACTGTGCTCAATAATCTACCATAGGCAATAGAAAACAAGAGTTTTCATTCTTTCATCTATGAATTGAGTCTAGGATCCTTATTCCATACAGACACAAGGCTGCATATATTTATATCCTGGGAATTGAACTAGTCCAGGCAGCAGAACCAGTTCAGTTACAATGCACAGCAGACATGCTGCTATGCCTAGTCCTCTTCCAAGCACTGTCCTTGTTTGCACTGCAGCTCAGGTATTTTGACTAGATACTACAGCACAGATGCACTCCCAGGAAGAGGAGCAGACTGTAGCCTTACTGAGGCCCTAGACTGTGAGGTTTGTTTTTGTGACACCAGTATATAAGGACTAATGAAGACGGCCTATGGAAGGGTACTCCCTTTTCCACACTTTCAGTGAGAATATTGAAACTATTTCTACTGTTCACAGGAATAGGTTGACCCACACAGTTCTCTATTACATCTATAGACTCAAAGATCTTACTCACTGGAGGGTATTTTTAGAAAGCTGCCAGCCACCCAGGAGCCTGAACAGGTAGTCTTACATGCTACAGAAGTTCAAACAGGCAGACATGGACATAAGTGCATGGACATGCACTTATTTGTTTTGCTTCCAGGGCATATTAAAAGAAACAGAACTGAAATGCACCCCAAAAACCATGGAGGCAAAGGATGTATCTACACACATAAAAATGTTATAGTACTACTAAATATGAGCTTTGTATTCTCAGTAACATTGAAGTCTTAATTCACATGGATTTCAACTGCAGATTTAGAAACTGAACTTTAAGTCTTTTTTTTTATTGCAGCTTACCTAATTTAATTAGGTGCAGCAGTTGCTCAGATGGTGCACAGACCGATTGTGGCTTTATCTCATTTATCAAACCATTCGCAATATTTATGTACCCATCATATAGGAGCTGACTAATGATTAGTTTATAAAGTTGCTGACGATCTTTCAAGCTGACTTTTGTTCTGTACATTGTGAGCAAGGAATGCCTTGGAGGGGCCTGAAATAAAGAAATAAACAAGAAAAACCACATGCAAGAGTTACATATAACAACTGCAATAGAGTACTGAATACCTGCTGCTGAACTTTGGAACATAAGATCGTAGCTATTACTGTGATAATTTAGGTACGATTCAATATTGAACAGAAAAATGAAAAAATGTTATAAAATGAAAAAAACTTGTTGCGCTATTTTGTTGCGTAAATGAACATATTGCCATTAAATGCAACATGAACCATATTAAGGAGCAATAAAGAAAATGATCCAGTGGAGGGAGAGGAAAAAAAAAAGAAAAAAAAAAGGAAAAAAGGCGGCAGCAGCATCGCTTAGCAGGGCTGCCCTGCCGCGTCTCTGGCCGCGCTGCTGCCGGCAGACAGGGGCCCCGGGCAGGCAGCGCCGGGAGCGCGGTCGGCGGGGAAGGTGCAGGGGAGCCCCGGCGCCAACCGCCCCGCGCAGCCCCTCGGCTCCCTCCCTTCCCTGGG